TTGTTAAGTGCCGGCAGAGTACTTCCACACCGAACTTCAGGGGTACAGGTTTGCTGATAAAGGCCTCGAATACGTCATCACAGACACCCAGGTGATAAAGCAGCGGGAGGGGGAGAGAGCCGTCTTTTATCATGTCCTTTGGTTTGGAACGGGAAAGAACAAGGTGCTGCAGTTCTTGATCCGTAACTTGTATCTGTCCCTCGAGAGGAAAAGACTTCAGCCTGCCCGACGCGCTGACTGACCATCCACTGAAGTGGCTTTGGTGCAGCTAGAGCCTGGCTGCATAGGTTTGGGTTCCCGGCACGTGCAGCAGGCTGTGTCGTGGCTGAGCCGGAGGGCTTGGGCTCGGGCAGCGCAGGTTGGCTCTCAGGCCTGTCCTTCACTGATGGATGAAACATGCCTTCAGCCTCCCTGTCCTCCCATCCCCTTCAGCCACATCTCGGCAAACGTGGTGTGTGCCTCCAGTGTTGGCTCTGATACCGCTGGTCCTAGGAGAGGGCAGGCTGGGTTTGTCCAGTTTTCTCATCATCCGGATATGCTGCCGGGGAGGTGCCTGCGTTTACTCCACTGACGTTCAGAAAAGGCGGCTGAGCAACCGAATGTGTGGCTGTGCTGCCAGCTGCTCTTGCTCCTTGCTGCTGCATCCCAGGCGGGCACCCATCATCTTGCTTTGGCCAGACCTGTGTCTGGGTTGGTGACAGAGCTTATTCTCCGTTCCAGCTGGAGTGACACGATCCAGTCTGGACCAGGGGCTCCTTGTCCACTTGGTCCTCTGGCTGCGCTGCTCTTGTTTTAGCCAGCTCAGCGAGTTGGAGAAGAGCTGCTTGATTACCCACCAAGAGCCACTTTGATTTCTCCCCTCCCTTTGGCACCCTTCTTCCCATTCCTCCATCTGGAGTGAAACCCAGCAAATTCCGTAATTGCTCCTTTCCGTCTCACCCTCCCATTACACCAGAAGTCTGCCGGGCCCTCTGCCAGGTCCTGACATCGCGGGCAGATGGGTACGGGAAGGAGCGTTTGCCAGACCCGGCTCTGTCTCTGCTAACCCTGTCCCCCTGGGAGTTGAAGCCCACACAGACTTGGGCCGTTTGCCCTGTTTGCCGAAGGAGAGGAGGCGTGTAGGAAACTGCCACGTGCAGTCGGGTCCTGGGTGGGTGGTGGGCACTCGGGGGGGCAGAGGGAGCAGGGAGGGAAGATGCAGCAGTCTCGGGAGAATGAGATCAGGGGGAGGGAGCAGGAGGAAGAGGGGGTTCAGGGGAATCTGGGGTTTGTGGCAATGTCTGTGGGACACTGGCTGGGGCGGGGCTGGAGTGGGTGGGAGTGTGCCCCTCGATGTGACCTTGCCTGTCCATAAAGCACTTTACAGCCTCGTGCCAGCCTGATCCCAGCCACGTCGCAACAGCTGGCTGCGAGGCCTGAAGCTGCCTTCCCCAAACCCGTAAGCGATGGTGCCTTTGCTGCCCCTGTCCACGTGCTCCGTTATTACCCAAAGCCTTTCTTCTCCTTCAGGCTGTCGCTGGGGCTGACAGGAGGGGCATTTCCCAGCACGTCTGGGGAGAAACTCCTTTCTGGCTGACCCAGTGTGCTCCTGCTCAGAGCAGCTTCTCCGCGTTGGGGTCACGCAGAGAGCAGCCGGGGACACAGGCGTGTTACGGCCAGGGTGCACGCATCCCTTACACGCTCGTACGGATGCAGCCTGTGTGAGCTCTCCGGGACTCGGCAGCACTGCACGTAGGTACGGTACAAGCTCTTCAGTCGGGTACCGCCGGCCTCTCTCTCCCAGGTAATTCCAGTCCTGCTTTCGTCTCAGGGGTGAACCATGCTGTGCAGCCCCTTCCCTTCCGTGCCATGAGGGGTCTGGAGAGGAGGTGGGGAGCAGAGGGGAGAAGAGAGATGTCTTTTGAACGTGAGAGGTGTGGGTCTCTAGGCTGGGGAAGGACGTGTGGATGCTGGTTTCTCTTTTGAGGCCGTATTCCGGCTGCGAGGCGCTCGTGGTTTATTTATTCAGCAGAGTGAATATTTTGTATACGATGTTAAGAGGAAGCCTATTATAAAGTTTTATGAAAAGGAGGAAATAAAAGGTGTTTCAATGGGGACACGAGTGCGTGTGGCTGAACGAAGGAGCAAGGGGTCGCGCCACGACGGCGGGGGCAGGGATGCTCCACCTCGCTGAGGGCTATAGTGGTACCGGGCCGTGCACCGGGCAGTACCAGGCTGTGTACCAGGCTGTGTACTGGGCAGTACCGGGCCATAGTGAGCTGTACTGGGCCATAGTGGGCTGTACCGGGCCATAGTGGGCTGTACCAGGCCACAGTGGGCTGTTCCGGGCCGCGTACCGGGCGTGAGGCTGCAGTGCTGTGGTCTGTGCAAGCGCACGGTGCATCCTCCGAGCATCACCCGGGAAGGGGCTGAGCCCGCTCCTGCCATCCGTCTCCTCTGGCCGGGGTGGACGAGGAGATGCACAGCCGCCTGTGACTCGGTTGAGGCTGTTCCCCACGGATCTCTGCCGTGAACCTCCCACTTACTCCACTAGGTGCTGTCCAAACCCAAAAGAAGATCCCAGCAACGCCGAGGCGGTGTAAATCAGAGCCGTTTGTTTGCGTCCTGCGGCCTCACGGTAGGTAGTACCTGAGGGTTTTGAAGAGCTGCGACTTTCCCAGGCCCCGCAAGGAATTTAAGTATGATCAGCGCTGACCCCGTGTCTCTGCTTTACAGTCTTTAACGTGACACCCAGGGGCGCAGCAGCCAGGCAGGGGAAGGGCTGTGGGTTGCCCTTTCACACGGCCGTGCCCCTTCGTTGCTGGGGTTATTCTGTGGTTTTCAGATGTGAAGCCTCACTCTGGCAGCAAAAATCATAGAATCATCATAGGATCACAGAATGGTTTGGGTGGGAAGGGACCTTACAGCCCACCCAGTCCCTCCCCCTGCCATGGGCAGGGACACCTTCCACTAGACCAGGTTGCTCCAAGCCTCATCCAGCCTGGCCTTGGACACTTCCAGGGATGGGGTTGCCATGACGAGGCACTGACATCTCTAACAGGTATCAGCAAAGGAGGTAAGGATTTTATTAATGCCCCCACATAGATGGGAAACTGGGGACCAGAGGGCTCCAGCAACTACCCCAAGGTGGCAGGAGAAGTCTGCAGCAGAGCAGGAGACCCTGCGCAAACCTCCTTAGTCCCAAACCATCAGCTTAACCACCGGACCTTCCCGCCCTCTGGTTGTGCTTTTCTTTGCGTTGTTAGTTCCACGGGACTGTTTACTCTGAATCTGCAAGAGACGAGGCTCCTGAACTAAGGAGTTTACAGTTTAATTCAGTTGTCTTGGGGGGCATATGGTAGGGATGGAGTCTTCCTGAGACCTTGTTGGAAAATCAGGTTTTAAGACTTTCTGGAAGAAGTAAACAGGAGTGTTTGGTAGCCAGAGGGGGGAGGCTTTTCTAGCCTCTGAAGCTTGTAGAAAGAGGAGACCAGAGCCAGAGAAGCTGGGATCAGAAAGATGACACAATTGGCGTGGAGGGAGGAGTGGGATTGGGTACTGCCTTGAAGGTGATGGTTCAGAGCACGAACTGGTGTTGTGATGAAAATTGAAGCCTGATGGCTGAGAGCAGCCCAAACCCCTCTCCTGCCTCACACGTGAGCAGCGACAGTCTCTGCCCATCGTGACTTGTCTATGCAGCGTTGTGCTGCAGACGGACTGTGGGCAGCCCCACGGCCCCGAGCGACGTGGCACCTTGCTCTGAGCAGATTTTGAAGGATGTGGGGGTTTATTTCTTCTTAAGGGGAAGAGCCTTTATATCACATCCAGACTGCATCTCAAAAATTCCCTTTCCCAGCTCTCAGGACCCTGAGGAAGCACTGATAACACAGACTGGCTCAACTGGTTTGCAGCTCTGCAGGCATCTCACGGACGGACTTACCCTGGAAAAGGTTCATAAGGGACTCTGCACAGGCTTTCTTTCTCTTGGAACTCACTTTCTGCACTAAATGTAAAAAGCAGAAAGACCCCGTCTCCCTGGGTGGTTTAGGGGTTGCAGGAGCAGGATGCGGCTCCAGGCTGCCCTCCCGCAGGGGCAGGGAGGTGCATGGCTGCTCAGACACCGTGCTCACAACCCCGCGACCCACAGCAGGTCCCCGGGGGGTTTGATGTGTGGAATCGTGGGAGACAGGTCACCTTCTGGACACAGCACAGGTCTAACCTGGAGATACCGTGCTCTTTCTTCCCTGTTCTGAAGCGTGGTGTTTGTGCCCTCGAGGGCCCTGTGAGCTGACCCCAGACGCTCTGTCTGCCGTGCTTTAGGAGGTGGGGCTGAGCTCGGGCAGACCTGCCTGAACTGGCTGTAAACTCGCTTGCTTGGGCACCGCTGGCCGGCGTAACACCGCGGCGTGGTGGCTGCTGAACGCACCAGAGCCCCAAGCAGTTTGGCAGCAGGCGCTCTCGTAGCTTATTACCTGTTCCCAAACTGGTTAGCTTGAATCCAGCCGTGATAGCTCTACGTTGGGTCACGGTTGTACCAACGTTTGCAGCGTGGAGAAACCAGCACCCTCTCCTGGAGCTCAATTAACTCCTAGTTGTAAGCCGCAAGTCCTCCTCTCTGCCCTCTGGCATAGGTGGGAGAGGGATGAAGTGTTTCATTCTGTATTTTTACCTTCATCAACTCCCCAGAGAAGTTTTGCTTCTGGGGGGAATTTACCTCTTTGCAGCCTGTTGGCATCCTGCATAGGAAAACGGTTAGCATGTGTTTTTTGAGCAAGAATGTTTAAAAACAAAGGCCACTGACTAGTTTTGATGTTTTATTTCTAATGCACCATCCTTTTTTTTTTTTTTCAAAGGTTGAGGTTTTCTTGTTTGCTTTTTTGATTTGGAAATAACCTTGGTGGTGTTCCCTTGCAGATGAACGAAGATTTCCCCAGCCTCAGGAGCCCCAGCTGAGCTCGTACAGAGGCTTCTGATCCTGCCAAGCCGAGAGCTTTGTGTGGGAAGAGGACGTGAGTCAACAAATGGTCTCTGTGAGCTGCCAGGAGCTGTTGCCCTCCTTGACCAGCTCTTCCCTGCTAGGGAGCTTTGCCGGTGCTCTGCAGCGCAGCGTCCTGCCATCCCTTCTGCCGGGGCACAGCAACGAGAGGGCGTCCGGCCACCCAGAAGGCTCTGGCCATCTCCTTGTGGGCAGCACCAGCCCCTTGGAAGACACCCCGCTCCCCCCATCCTGTGCAAAGGGGGAAGATGCAAAACCCCAAGTCGCTGTCTGCGAGCCTCACCTCAGGCTGCCTGATTTCCGCAGCAGGCTCTCCCAGGGCTTCATTCCCACTCTGGAGGAGATTGAGGAATTCCTCAAGGAGAAGGCTGAGTTCCTCAAAGACGAAGCAAGCGAGCTTCACCCAGCCGGAGGGAAGATCGAGATCAAATCTGAGATCAGCTTAGGTAGCTCTGGGAGACAGCCCATCTCCAGTGTGCTTCAAGAAGGTGTCTCAAACGCTGCCCAGCCTGGAGGGTCAGCTGAAGGTAGTGACCAGGCAGTAGCTGCTGGAAGCATTCCTGTCATCCTCCAAATCCAGCCTCTCCAGATGGCCAGTGGCAGCCCACTAGCACAGAGTGCTACAGGCGGTGTCAGGGTAAACCAGCTGGTTATCAGCTTGCAGGGCCAAAAACAGTCCCTCCTCCCTCAGGTCCAGCCCCCTGTAACCATCACGGACCAGAAGTATGTCAAAATTGCCCCCCTGCCAGTCTCCATGAGGCCAGGGGCACTGGGGGACGTGGAAGAGGTGGAGGCAACTCCCAAGTGTCAGCAAGCCCCCCTTTCCCTCATCCGCATCCATAAGTGCTCACACCCGGGCTGCGGGAAGATGTATGCCAAGAGTTCCCACCTCAAGGCTCACATCTGTCGGCACACCGGCGACAAACCCTACACGTGGGCTTGGCCCAACTGTGGCTGGCGGTAAGTGGGAGCCACGGGACTCTGTGCCAGCGGGTGTCCCGGCCGCAGGTCTGCCGCTGCGTGCCACGATGCGGGAGAGCTCCTGGCTACGGAAAATCCAGGAGAAAATCACAAGTTGAATTCCCCGAGTGAGAGCTGGAAGGAGGCTGGGAGGAGTACGCTTTGTGGAGCGCTTTGGGTGGTTTTCGTTCGGTCTAGAAGTGCTGAAATCCTCCAGCTGGGGAAGCATAGCTGACACTCCCAAATCCCCCTTGAACTAGGTGACCTTCTGGCAATGCAGCTTTTCCAAGGATCGTGTAACTTTGAAAGCTTTCTTTGCCAAGTTCGGGATAATTCCTGTGCTTGGACTACAAACATGGCTTTTCCCACTAATATTTGCCCCAGAAAATAGGAGTCTGACTGCTTCCTCAGGAGCCAGAGCCTAGTTTTGTGCTCGTTTACCAGCCCTTTGCTTTCTCTCGCTGTTTGCCTGCCCTGGCTGCTTGTCCCCCTCTGACACCCCAGGGCCTGTAGCGTATCTCCACGTTGCGTTTACTTTTGTTTGCTCTGCACATGACGGCGGTTGGCGTTTTCTTTCATCTGTGTTCCCTAGATTCACTCTGTTTTTTTTAATCTTGCTGCACTTCTCGGATCAGCTTTCTGCTGTTCTGTTCTCTTCCTGGTACGGCGGTACCTGTCCTGGGGGGCAGGATGCTCAGTCCAACCTTTGGCGAGAAGGGCTGATAGTTCTGGGGTCTGGCGTGGCGCTTTTCGTCAGCAGAGTGTGTCACAGAGAAACTGGTGCTGGCAGCACCCAGCTTGCCTGGTTTCTTAGGCTTTGGCATACACCCGCTGCCTCGTTTCTCCGGAGGGTGTGTGACGGCTTCTGTCTCGGGGTGGTAAGACTCTGGAAGGTATGAGACTAGACCTGAATTTTGGGACTCCCTTTTGCCACGTTGTCCCTTTGCCATCAGCGATTGTCCCTCCATTTCACCTATAACCGCAGGATGTCCATAGGCACTGGCTCCTTTTCCACGAGCAGCCAGTGCTGCTACACCCGACGCTCAGAGCCTGGGGACTGAGGAGGGGGACGATGGCAACACACAGGCATCACTTTTCCCTCTGGGAATGAGGAAAGAGATGGTGCTAGCCTGCAGGATGGCATTCTGCACTGCCCTGCTGTGCCCTGCCCTACCACTCCATGGGAGCAGTTGCTCCATCAAGGGATGTTCTCAGCTGCAGACGGGGTTCTCCGGCCCACACCCCCTTTTCTGGATGTGGCCCTGAGTATAAATCTATACGTCATTTCTCCTTGCTCTGCTTTCTGTGTGGAGCTGAGACCTTGGGGCTTGCCATAAAGCTGGAAAAGAAGTCAGTGGTTTGTAGGGAAGGATGGTCCTGGGGCACGTTTCATTCCCACAGAGCCTTTTGTGAGCAGGCGCAGTGTTTGCCGTGCCAGGGGTGAGCTTGAAATCCTGTCGCTGGGAGTCTGGGGTTACAGCTGAAGCTCCCTGCTTTGTGCTTCTTTGCGTGGGCACGTTTCAGCCAGGTGGAAAACCCCTTCCTTCCCAATACTCCTGCCATCTGCGTTGGTTCCTTAGAGGCAAAACAGGAGTAAATCCTGTCCCATCCTCAGCGCTCCCCTCGGACATCCTCATACCAGCTCCCGGGCCTTGTTGAGACTGCTGAGGTGGCACTGGTGGAACTGGTGTGGACTAACACGCTGCAGGTCCCCCCAGGCCTGGATCCGTGTGTGCCAGGAGAAATAACTGGGGACACGCACATGCTTCAAGGGGATTTCCAGGCTGTTCAGCTGATCTACTCCAGGAGTGGGAATTACGCATACAAACAGTCCAAATGCTGGGCATCAGTGTGGTCCTTGTTCCTGCATCCTCACAACAGCAGTCAGCTTGCTTCGGCATGGAACTCTCTGCTTCTCTGCTGCAGGCTGGGTGCCTTTGCTTCTCCTCCCTTGTGCTCGCTATTTTGGCCAGCTCACAGGCTGCTCCTCTCCCCCCAGCTCCCAAATCCAGCCCAGGCTGACAGGGAAAACTTGCTGCCGTTCTGAGAAACAAGGGGATGCTCAGGGAGAACCATGCACTCTCAGGAAAAACACAGGCCTTCTTGACAGTCATGCTCCTCTTGGCTGGACACGTGAGGTGTTAGTGAAGCCTTTCCACCCGGGAACAGTGTCACTGCCAGCCTGGGCTGGTGCCACAAAAAGCGATTTCTCTCAGCATCTGGCCCTGCGGCCGTCAGCTCCCAAAAGGATTCACCAAGTCTGAACCAGACAAAGGAAGTAAGTGGACACTTTAAGATCAGTGGGAAGAAGTTACGATCGCAGTAGGTGAATTCTGTCCCCCTTTCCTATTCCTAAATCACCCTTGGAGGGGTTTATTTTCCATTCCTCCAGCACAGCCTGAGGCACCTGTGCCTCGTTGGTAGGGTGGATGGAGAAGTGACCTGTCTATGGTCACCCCAAGAGTCTGTGGCAGAGTTCCTGAGTCCGGGATCCCTGATTTCCCTGCCCTATCTAGCAGCCAAGGCTGGATCCACCAGGCTTCCCTTCTCCCGCAGGTTTTCCCGCTCGGATGAGCTCTCCCGTCA